TGGCACGGCATCCCTTGGCTGGGACATCCATTTGCATCCAAAGGCTGGCAGGTGCCATTGGGTGCCCAGGCTTGGGGCTGGGATGTTTGGCACGGTGTCCTACCGGGACACTCCTCTGGCTTTGAGGCCTGGTACATGCCGTTAGCTGGCCAGGTTTGGGGATGGGACGCTGGGAATGGCACCTGGCTGGGACACACCTCCAGCTCCGAGGGCTGGCACGTCCCGTTGGCCGCCCAGGCGCGCAGGTGCCGCCTGATTTTCTTCTTGGACATGAACTTGCGGTCGCAGTGGACGCAGACATAGGGCACCCAGTTGGTGTGGCCACGCTGGTGGATCAGGAGGTTGATCTTCAGCAGGAAGGTTTTCCTGCAGATGGGGCAGGAGTAAAATTCCCGGGCGGAATTGCGCTGCCAGGGCACGGACCGGCCCACGCAGGAGTCCTTCTCCGGCTCCCCTGGGCTGGGATCTGCCTGGTCTGTCATCTTGTGGACATCTGGTGCCACCTCCTTTCCTGGTTCTTCAGGAATGTCGGCCACCAGATCTTGGCCAGTATTCCCTGAATCTTTCAGAGCCTCCTCTTCCTGAACCTTGTCCTCTTCCAGACCCTTAGAGGGTGTTTTGGGCATTGACAGATTCTCTGCAGCAACCTCCTCCTGTGGCACCTCCATCGGGATCCCCGCTTCAGCATCTCCTGGGAAAATTTTAGAATCCAAACATCATTTTAAACATGGTTTTAAGGTGTGAACAGCAAAGGGCTTTGCTCCCACCCTCCCTCCCTCACTTCCCACCCTGTTCCCAGCCAGCACAAATCCCAGCCCCACTCTCCTCTTCCAGCTCAGTCTCTGGACTGTATAAAAGGCAGGAACAGCCAGAGCTGATCCCTGTAGACACCCCAGAACAGTTTGAGGTGGAAACATCACCCAGGGGAACAGGGGACTCTGACAACCACTCTGGGGCTGGTCTGGGCAGGTGCCCCGATGCCATGCCATAACCCAAACAGTTTCAGGGCTGGTAACAGGATTTGCTTCCTTTTCCTGGAAGCCCCAAGCCCAGACAGAGGCCCAATAGACCCCCCCCAAGCTGCTGGCCCCACCAAGGAGGGCTGAAGGTTCTGCCCCAGTACCTGCTGCAGGGGGAGAACTGTTGTGACCCACGGCGTCCTGGCAGTGCACGGAGAGCGGGCAGGGAGGGGACGGGGTGGGCAGGCTGAGATCCGCCGGGTCAGCGGTGCCTTCCAGAGGGACAGGGGCTGTGAGGGCAAGAGCAGGGATGAAGGTGGGTAAGGAACAGCCAGGCAGGGCTCCAGGACCCCTCACAGCAGCAGCAGCAGGATTTGCCAGGCACTCACGTGTGCTGCACTTCTCTGGGACCACTGGGCTACTGCTCTCCTCCATCAGGTTCCCACTCTCCTCTGCTGGGTTCCCACTTTCTTTTGCTGGGCTCCTGTTACCCTCTGCTGAGCTCCTGTTCTCTTCTGCTTGGCTCTTGTTTTCCTCTGCTTGGCTCTTGTTTTCTTCTGCTGAGCTGTTTTTCTCTGCTGTGCTCCTGTTTTCTTCTGCTGAGCTCCTGTTTTCTTCTGCCATGCTCCTGTTTTCCTCTCCCATGCTCCTGTTATCCTCTGCTTGGCTCTTGTTATCCTCTGCTGTGCTCCTGTTTTCTTCTGCTGAGCTGCTGTTTTCCTCTGCCATGCTCATGTTTTCTTCCGCTGTGCCTCTGTTTTCCTCTGCCATGCTCCTGTTTTCCTCTACCATGCTCCTGTTTTCCTCAGCCACACCCCAGATTTCATTTATCACGTTCCCTCGTATCTCCACTAGGCCCCAGCTTTCCTCCACCGGGTTCTCGCTTTTCTCTGCCACATTCCCGCTTTCCTCTGGCTCCCTGCAGCCCCTGTCCATTGTCTCTGTCTCCAGCAGTGCACCATCACTGGTGCAGTTCTGTTGGGCTGGCTCTGTGGAGGACAAGGACATTTGGATTCAGCAGCAGCCAGTGAAAAATCCCATTCCAGAGGGTGTCAGGGTCCCTCACACCCAGCAGCTGATGGGGCAGGGGCTCCAGGCTATCCACATGTCCCAGGAGATGTTCCCTCACAGCGGACACCTCCCAGTCCCTGTGAGGTGTCCCAGGTTGGAAAAGGCTTGGAGCAACCTGCACTAGTGCAAGGTGTCCCTGCCCATGGCAGAGGCTTGGAAAGAGATAAGCTTTAAGATTCCTCTCAACCCAAACCCAAAATCCTGGGATTCACGGTCCCAGTGAGCAGCCAGAAGCTGGTGGCACAGAAGGAACCCAGTGTCACCCACCTACAGCCAGCACCTCTGGGGACATCTCTTCTGCCTCTGTCTCTGATTCTGATTCTGGCGGTGTGCTCAGCTCTTCACTTTCCAGCTGCAGTAACAGTTCGGGCTTGGACAGGGCAGAGTCTGGGCAAGAGCAGGACACACATCAGGAACATGATGGGACAGGGACTCTGCACCCACAGCTGGGCAACAGAGCCAGTCCCAACCCAGGAAACTTCATCTGCAACCGCGGCCACGACGGGAGTTAAGGATACAGACAGGAAACAGCAGGCAGAGCTGACAGGGAACAAGGAAAACAGCCTCTGACAGTCCCCTGGGAACAACTGCATGAAAACCCATCCTTGCTCTGGCCCTGCTACAGAATTCCCTGTTCTCCCAGAAATTCACCTTGCAGGTAGGAAAATACCCTGAATGATGGGAAGGGAATTGTGAGGCTCCTGACTGCATGAGGGCACTGCTGAGGGACCACCTTGAATCCTGGGGGAAACTCGGGGCCCCTCATGCCAAGGAAGACCTTGAGGGGCTGGAGCATGTCCAGGGAAGGGAACAGAGCACCAGGAGCTGGGGGGCTCAGCCTGGAGAAAAGGAGGCTCAGGGGGGACCCTGTGGCTCTGCACAGCTCCATGACAGGAGGGTGCAGCCAGGAGGGAATCACAACCTGCTCCCAGGGAACAGGACAAGGGGAAACAGCTTCAAGGGGAGGTTCAGGTTGGATTGTAGGGGAAATTCTCATGGAAAGGGGTGTCCCAGGCAGAGAATTTTGGAGGTGACAACCCAGGGAGATGATAACACCAACAATGTACCTATTTTCCACAAGGAAAAGACACCAAGCACTTACTACCCTGTCCTGCGTGTCCCTGCCACGCTCCAAACGCTGCCGGAGGGGACAGGGGAAAGGGAGGATTATCTGAGAGCTGGAGATTGCAGCAAAAGGCAAAGAAGCAGAGAAACGACCCCAAGAGAGCTCCCTGGGGCTGCCAAACCGGCGCAAACGCAGCCTACACAGGGACACCAGCATCTCGTAGTTGCCTTCCATGACGCTCCGGTACATTTCCTTCTGTCCCTCGTCCAGGCTTGCCCACTCCTGCCGGCTGAACCGCACTGCCACATCCTCGAACCGCACCGGGACCTGCAGCACCGGCTGGCATGGGGGACGGGGCAGCGACCCCGAACAGCTCCCGGACCCTCAGACCCCCCCCAGCCCTTCTGTAGCTCCCAAACCCCCATACGGAGTCCCAGTCTCCTAAACCAGTCTGCTCCCAGCAGCCCACTGGATTCATCCCCACTTTCCCGGAACCCACTGCTGCCCCCTGAGGAGCCACCCGAGCTGCTCCCGGCCAGCCGGGAATCCACTGGATTCCCATCCCGTCTCCTGAAAGCCCCCGCAGCCCCCTCAGGGAGCCCCCAAACCGCTCCCCGCCCTCCAGAGCCCCACGGGCGATCCCCAAGCCCCCTCCCAGCCACAAATCCTCCTTCCAACAGCCCCAAAAGCGATCCCCAGCCTCCCCTTGAACCTCCCACCAGCCCCTCAGTGCTCCCCCAGCCTCACTCCCAACCTCTAGGCTCACAATGACCCCATAAGTGACTCCTCCATCCCCCTCCCAGCCCTCCTCGCCCC